GAAGCCTGTCTGATGCACCAGGTACTTGCTAGGGATCAAGGACACAGGAATAAATACAAGACAAAAATTCCTGCCCTCGGGAGGCCTGGGTGGCTCAGCGGTTGAGGGTCTGCCTTCTGCCCAGGGCGTGATCCTGGAGTCCTGGGATTGAGTCCCACATTGAGCTCCCTCCATGGCGCTTGCTTCTCCCTCTGCCTCTCTCTGTGTCTCTCATTAATAAGTAAATAAAATCTTTAAAAATAAAAAAATAAATAAAAATTCCTGCCCTCATGGAGTTTTGTTTTGTTTTTTTTTTTTCCTCATGGAGTTTATTTTACATTCTTTCTTTTCTTTTTTCTTAAGGTGTCCCATGCAGGGAGCCTGATGTGGGACTCGATCCTGGGACTTCAGGATCACGCCCTGGGACAAAGGCAAGTCCCTACATTCTCAAAACCAATTCTCAATTGCTCAGACTCTGTTCTTCCCCACAATTAAGTCATCACGATGCAAGGACTGACATGCTACAAGGATTGGTTTACAGAGGCCTGTCATATGTTTGGCACTGTACCAGATTCCAGGGATACATGCTACACGGATTTACATAAAGTCCCTATCCTCATATCACTTAGATTCTAAATTCATCTTTCACCAGGAACCATATGTGACAACTCAAGCAGGCTATCTGCCATTCTATGAACACGTGGGACACTTTCACTCTTCGATATACTTACTAAGCACCTGTTCTGTAAGGTGTTGTCAGGTGGAAGAAATACAAAGACAAGCAATACACAGTCCTGTCCACCAGGAATTCATTTTTACACCTTTACTCCTTCCCCCTTCGCTATCAGACAGATACCGGGGAATCTTTGGGCCTGCTTTCCCCTGATCACTACCCTTACCTTTTGTGCCCTACCACAGCACTTCTCACACATTTCTCCTATAGCCTTGCTACTCAAAATGCTGTCCGTGGACCATCGGCTTCCCCTGAAAACTAGCTAGAAATGCAAAAACTCAGATCCCACCCCAAACCTATCAAATCTGGATCCACATTAAAATAAGGGTCCTGGGTGAGTCGTATGCCTATTAAAGTTCGTGAAACACTGCTCTACAGCACTTAACGGTCCTTGAACTTCTCCCCAGAGCTGCACGTCCAGCACCTAGTACAGTAGCCAGGCGACAACGGATAAAGGCTAGGTGCTGGTGAGCCGAGCTTACTTAATTCCCCCAAGGACAGTTAGCCTAGCCTCACCTGGACAGACAACCTGGGGCCCCGCCCCTGCTCCACCTGCTCTCCCGCCGCGCCCACGCCGGGCCCCGCCCCGCCCCTGCAGACACCTTGGTCCAGAGTCTCAAGGCGAAGTCGCGAGCCGGTCCGCTGAGGTCCAGAGTATCGGTGTCTCGCAGGCGCTGTACGAAGTCCTCGGCCGAGGCGCATCGCTGCGCGGTACCGATCAGAAACTGGGCTACGTGCCGCTCGCTCAGCCCCAGCACCGAGTGCAGCTCGTCCTGCACCCAGCGCTCCAGCCCAGCCGGCGTCGCCATGGTGACCCACGCTGCCCGGTTCCTGGCCCTGAACTGTGTCGAGTAAACACGCTGGCGGCTGGGCCCGTCGGAGGCCTGCAGGCCTGGAGCCCTGGACTGGAGTCCCAGCTCCGCAAAGGACCTGCCTTTGACCCTTGGGTCTCGGTTTCCCACAGCCCCAAACCGTCTTCTCGGACCGCAGAAGCCGGAAACGACCAGTCGTTTCCGGCCAGTCGTTTCCGGCCTCTGCACTACGGCGGCCGAGCGAGGTCAAGCCTCGCGGAACCGCCGAACGGGTGAAACGTTTCGTTTCCGCCTCCACCAAGTCTGTCTGCCGCCCTCTGATGGTCGGTCTGCGGATACCTCCTCGCTCACTCATTCATTCAACAAATGCTGTGTGCTAAGCGCAGTTTTAGTTGCTGGGGATGTGGCAAATTATCAGACAAAAATCCCTTACTGAAGGAGGGGAGGCAAGGTAGATAATAAATAAAGCATGGGCCAAAAATAATGCAAGATTTTTGTGTGGTTTGGGGAGATTCTGTTTCAAATTGAAAGGCTAGGTCCCTGCTGATGAAAATCAGCGCCTGCTGATTAGGAGTGACGTTTGCTCGTGCCAGTACCTGTGGCAAGAACGAATACACGTTAGACACAAGCGAGGACCTCCGAGCGGCAAGAAACGGCTTTGAAAACCTCCAATCTCAGGAATGTGTGAACTGCGTTCTGCATTTTTGTTAACAGCTTCACTGGTGAAGAAATTCACTGGTGGTGCTCATTCGAAAATAAGCAGAGGAAAAAAACAAAAACAAACAAACAAAAAACAGAAATAAGCAGAGGAGCACCTGGGTGGCTCCGTGGTCGAGCGTCTGCCCTCCGCTGCCCTGGTGATGCCCTGGTGATGCCCTGGTGATGCCCTGGTGATGCCCTGGTGATGCCGGGTCCTGGAGGGAGCCCCCCCGCAGGCAGCCCGCTCTGCACGGGGCCTGCTTCTCCCTCGGCCCTCACCAGCCCCTGCCCTCCCGCTCGCTCGCTCTCTCTCTCTCTCTTTTAAAGATTTTTAGTTACTTATTCATGAGAGACAGAGAGAGGAGAGAGAGAGAGGCAGAGGGAGAAGCAGGCCGAGCTCCCTGCAGGGAGCCCGACGTGGGACTCGATCCGATCCGGGGTCTCCAGGATCCTGCCCTGGGCTGAAGGCGGCGCCAAACCGCTGCGCCACCGGGGCTGCCCAGCTTTGGCTTCTTAGATGCATTGTTTTCTGTTTCTGAGATGGACTGTGGGCACCCCTGGCGTCTCAGAGCTTCCTGCCTCTGGTTTCCTGGGTCACAACTATCAGGGTCTTTATTTAATTAGCTACGAGTATAAGCATTGTTTCCCTCCATACTCTCTAAACTGGCTCATTGTTTTAACACCTTTGTTGTTGCTTTGCTAGTAAGTTAAAGACTTTGGTACTCGTTTAAGGTGGGTTTGTCTTATTTTGTATTTAGTGAAAGGGGGTCTCCTCCGACTAAGCTGAGAAAATTCCTGTAGTGGTAGGACTATAACTACTGAAACTTGTCTTTACTACCCTAGCAAACTGAAAAGAAAAAAAAAAAAAAAAAGACCTGATAAGTAAACTATAGATGTGCCTGCCATATATGTAGAAGATAGAAATTCTTTGAAATGGGAAAAATCTCTCAATTAACTATACTTGGGCAACAAAGCCATGAATTATCAATGTTTTTTTAAGATTTTATTTATTTACTCATGAGACACACACACACACAGACACAGACACAGGCAGAGGTAGAAGCAGGCTCCCAGTGGGGAGCCCATTGCAGGACTGTGCTCACAGGATCCTGTGATCACGACCTGAACTAAAGGGAGACACTCAACCACTGAGCCACCCAGGTGTCCCTATCAATGTTTTTTTTGTTCGTTTGTTTTGCTAAGATTTTATTTATCTACTCATGAGAGACACAGGCAGAGGGAGAAGCAGGCTCCATGCAGGCCGCCCAATGTGGGACTGGATCCTGAGATTCCAGGATCATGCCCTGGGCCAAAGGCAGGCGCTAAACCGCTGAGCCACTCAGGTATCCCTCCTTATCAATGGTTCTTAAGTAAACCTTTAGAGATATAAAACCCATTGTTTAACAGACTTTTTTTTAGAAAACCACACTTTTTTTGTTTTTTTAAAAAGATTTTATTTATTCATGAGACACACACACACACACACACACACACACACACACACATGCAGAGAGAGAGAGAGAGAGAGAGAGGCAGAGACCCAGGCAGAGGGAGAAGCAGGCTCCATGCAGGGAGCCCGACGTGGGACTCGATCTCCAGGATCTCCAGGATCACGCCCTGGGCCAAAGGCGGCGCCAAACCCCTGAGCCACCGGGGCTGCCCAGAAAACCACACTTTAAAAAAGAATTATTTTAGGGATCCCTGGGTGGCGCAGCGGTTTGGCGCCTGCCTTTGGCCCAGGGCGCGATCCTGGAGATCCTGGAGATCGAGTCCCACGTCGGGCTCCCTGCATGGAGCCTGCTTGTGTCTCTGCCTCTCTCTCTCTCTCTGTGACTATCATAAAAAAAAAAAAAAAAAAGAATTATTTTAGACAGAATGACAGAGAACATGAGCAAGGGAAGGGGCAAAGGGAGAGGAAGAGCAAGAAGCAGATTCCCCACTGAGCAGGGAGCCAGATATGGGACTCCACTCCAGACCCTGGGATCATGACCTGAGCCAAAAGCTGACACTTAACTAAGCCACCCAGACGCTCCAGGAAACTGTACTTTTGTACATACACTATATTTTGCAGCAATTTTAGATTTATTATTTATGGTGCCAATCTTGGAGTAAAAGCCCCTAGATTAGCCAGTGTTACACACTAGCTAGCTGCTTCTAAATACTGGAGTTCTTCAACTCATAATGTCCTGTTTCCAATATTTTAGCTCTTTTCATCTATTCATGTTTGTTCAGTCATTCTAGTAATAATTTTGCAAGTGTGCTAGGGATAATTTTGTGAGGTATGGGGATGCCTCATTAAACCCAACTACAGTCTGCCCTTGTGGCACTTCCAGTTTATTTTTTTTAAGATTTTATTTATTCATGAGAGACACAGAGAGAGGCAGAGACACAAGTAGAGGGAGAAGCAGGCTCCATGCAGGGAGCCTGATGTGGGACTCGATTCCAGGACCCCGCGATCACACGACCTGAGCCAAAGGCAGACCCTCAACCGCTGAGCCACCCAGGCTTCCCAATGGCACTTCCAGTTTAGTGGATTCTTTCTGTCCTTCCTTAAACTGGTCCTTTTCCTGCCACTCCTTCAAGCAACAGCTACAGGGCTCTCCCAGAGCCCTTTCTTCATGTCAATGCTGAGTTCCCGTTTCATTTCCATCACCCCGCCGCAGCTGTGGCCACTACCTCTTCATGGCCAATAGGAAGATGGGAGCGGCTTGGAATGAGGAACACAGAGCCTCCCCCACCCCATACCTTTTTCTAAAGAAGGAAAAGCAGCAGGAGAGTTGGAGAGATCTCCGTTTTATTATGGAAAACTTAAAAAACAAACAGGCAGTTGATAAGGAAGGAGAAATGGGGGAGAAGGGTTGAGGTGCCTTGTTAGTCACCCCACACTCACTTGCAATTCAATTAAATTGTGAACCACTGGAAGGAACAGAATTAAATAATGAGGTGGGGGTACAGGGTTAAAATCCCCAGCTCTCCTTCTTGAGGACAACTGAGGTACAGTAATACTGAGCAAAAGTGGAGGAAGCCACACCCCCAAAGAGACAAAGGGCGGGGGTGTTCCATATGGACTCAACAGTTAGGTGTGCTTGTAAACCTGGGACTTCGGCAGGTGGGGCTGGGAGCTAATGGGATTTGTAAACCAGGCTGGTGGTCAGGGGAGGAGGCAGGAGGTATAAGCAAGGGGGCAATGCCCTAACGAATAGGAAGGAGAGGGGCCTGTAAATGGAATGGGGCAGGCTGTCCAGGATGAGTGCTTAAATCCTCAGAGCCCCCACGGGGTGGTGGGGAGTCAAGGAAGGCTGAAGGGAGAGTGTGGAGATGGAGGAGGTGCTACACCCCAGCCCCAGTGAGCCCTGTGATCCTCCCCAGGATGTGATGCTCATTCTTAATTCACCTAGGATGCCACCAGCATGTCTGACACACTCACACCAGGGATCTTTGGTGAGGGTGGAAACTGGGTGAGTAGCTCTGCTCCCATAAACAGGATGAGGAAAGAAGGTTGGAAGATGTTGGTTGCCCCTCACTGCCAAGATCATTTTCAGGGTCTCTCTGTTCTCAATCTTCTGGGCTCCAGGATCTTCAATTCTGGAAAAGAATGAGGGGTATAGACCCTCTGTTGAAGGAGGGGTATAGACCCTCTGTTGAAGGAGGGTCACCTCCGGCAGGACTCATCTGTGGGAGAGGAGGCAGTAATGGTAGAGAGTGAGTGAGGGCCACTGCCATCCACCGTCCCCACTTACTCTCTACACTGAGCAAGTCAGTGTTTTCCATGCCCAGTACCTGCTCCTACAGTACCAGCAGCCATTGCTCACCTAGCTCGCATCCTGTGCCAGGCATTCTTACAACCTGTTTAATCACATAGTAGCACCAGAGGAGATTAAGTAATTTGATGGCCAGCCATAGTTACAGGGTGCCTCATAAACATTACTGAACCTTCTCAGTAAACCCCAGGCGGTGGTTATTATTAACCCCATGTCATAATTAATAAACTGAGGCCAGAGGTCAGGTGATTTCCTGGAGGTTACACCCCATGTAAGAAACAAGACGGAAATCAAATGCAGGCCCGTCTGACCCAAACCCGGTGTTTTTAAGCACACGAGAGTGCTCAGAAGGGGTCCTGGTGCTGAAATCTGGAGACCCTCTGTGCCTGCACTTCCACTTCCCCATCTGTGAAGGAGAGCGGTGCGCCTGGAGGTCCTGCTGCAGGTCCTGCCTGCCCAGTCTCCCCAAGCAGCAGCACGACTCACGCCGCCCCTTCCCTCCCAGGGCGCAGTGTCCGCCCTGGACGCCAGGGGGCGCGCTCGGACCGGCGGAGCCTCCGCTCACCCACGATCAGGGCCTTGGTGCGCAGGCCGCCCCGGAGCTCCCGCTGCAGCAGCAGCAGCTCCTCGTCGTCGTCGTCGTCGTCGTCGTCGTCGTCGTCGTCAGGCTGGGCCGCCGGGGGGCTGGGGGCACCGGGAGCCTCAGGATCCGGGCCCAAGTCCTCCAGCACCGAGCTCTCCGAGGGGTACTGGTACGTGGTCTCCAGTGCTGTCTCGCTGAAGGAGATCTTGAGCTAGGGTGGGAGAGAAGGGGGAGGCCCAAGTTCAGCCCGGGGGGCGCCCGCCCAGGGAAACTCGTGCAAGGCGGAGGGGAGGGAAGCCGGAGCGGGGCATCCACCCGGGGCCGCGGGGCCGGTTTTCCTGCTGATACAGGCCCTCCAATTCCAGATTTTCCTTCTTCTATCATAGCATTTCCTAGACATCAGACTCCGCACTGCCTGGGCAGAGGGGAGCAATACAGGACTCGGGTTCCTACTCTTTAGACTGTGGGTGGTGGGAGGGTAAAAAGAAATGAAAAAATATACTCCTGTAATCAGAGCTGAATCCTTAGGCACCGTTGAGGGCAATCAGGAAGGCTTCCCGGAGAGGAGGGAAGTTTGACCTGGCAGGAAATAGCTGACTGGACACAGTCCCAGGCAGAAGCAAAGACAAGCACATTGGTCTCCGCACCGTAGGCCCCCTGGGGTGCCTGGGAAACCCAGCAGCCTGGATACCTGTGCCCTCCTGCTCCCCTCACTCTTCTCCTAGAGCCCCAGTGGACTCACAACAAACTGGGGCTAGGGCCTGGGAGGGGAGAAGAGACCTACCGAGAGGCCCAGAGGAAACAAGACTCTACCCTGACGCACAAAGGAGATGGGCCCTTGAGTCCCTGCAAAGCCCAGCTTGGGGAGGTGGCAGGGCAGAGAGGAAAGTCCATGCAAACACAGGTTGGGTTGGAGAATGCACCCAGAGGAGCACACACAGACGGGCGAAGAGCCACAGGGGACCTGAGGGGACAGAAAATCCTTCACAAACATGCTGTCCCCAGAGCAGGCCAGCTCCGGCTGTCCTCACTGCCTTTCTACCCTTCCCCTTTGCCCTTCTAAGAAGCTCAGGGAGGCTGGGGCAGAGTGGGATTAACTCTGGGAGCCAAAGCGATTAAGAAGACAAACGGGAGGATTCCATGTGAACTACTTGGAAAGGTCCAGATCATCTACTCGGGCCTTCCCAGGTGCCTGTTGGGGGAGCCAGGGCTTGGGCCCTGCATCCTTGAGAAGACAGAAGCTGGGAGGGTGGCTGGACAGGTGGATGCTAAAGGCTAGATGGAATGTGAAACCTGGGTCCTCACAGGAAGCTGGAACTCAGAGGCACCTTGGCTCCGGAGCTGGCATTGGCTCCTCATCTCACTGGCAGGAAAAGCCAGAGCCTGACTGAGGCCCACAGGGTACTGGGGCCCCTGTGCCGCTCCCGCCTCACCTCTCAGGCATCTGTTTCCGCTCCAGCCACCCTGGTCAGGGCTCCACTTGGCTCACCAGGGGCACTCCCATCTTGGGGCCTTTCGCTGGCTATTCCTCCTGCCTGGAACACTCTTCCCCCAAATATCCCCTTGGCTCCCTCTCTCCCAGTCACCTTAGTGAAAGTTCACATTCACCCCCCCAACCTTCTGGCCCTCTAGGTTCCACTTACCCTGTTCTAATCCCCCCCCAAACACACACACACAATTACTTACCACCTTCTAATGTACCAGGGAATTTACATTTGTTATCCTGGGTCTGCTGTCCATTAGAACATGGAAGTTGCCACAGTGAGTAAGGAAGGGCTGCTCCAACCTCAGATGTGGTCCCCAGAGACCCGACTGTGGTAGGTACACAGTCTGTCTGTGGAACTGCCAGTAGACACGAGGGACAGCAACCAGACCCCTTACGTCCCAGCTTTTCAAAAAGGACCACTTCTGGTTCCGTTACTGACAGATTTACCTAAACTCCTGGGGACCCGCTTGTTTTCTTTTCACATCCCCTTTTGGGACAACAAGCTCTGTAGTTTATTATCCACTCTGAAAAAAGATTCATTTTATTTGTTCTGAGTCATGTTTGTCTCTCTTCCCCAACCCTTTTTCTCTCCTCACTGCCCTCCCCTCACCCCTGCCCCAACTTCTGACTGGGCTCCTCAGGAATGCACAGCCTGCAGGGGAGCTGAGGGTGGAGTGGGGCGGGAAACAGAGGGGTGATTCACTTGTTCCTCTCCCATCAGCTATATAAAGTCACAAGGGGGCCAGAGAGGGAGGAGCCCAGCTCTCAGCTAGAAGGGGCTCTCGGGAAGGGCACCAGCCACAGGGCAGGGCTGGGATTTCTGTCCTGTGGCAAGGATGTGTTTGATGACATTAGCTTGCAAACAGGAGTTATTTAGGGAAGTGGCGGGGTGGGTAGGGTGGGGTGTGTGTGGGGTCCTCTGGTTCCGAGCTAGTGGGTTGGGTCAGAGCTGGGTCAAGGCACACCAGTCTGTGCTGAGCAGGGTGCAGAGAGAGGGAAGGCAGCCTGACGTGGGGTGGAGGGGGAGGTGTCTGGGTCTAGAGAACTCTGGGCTGCTTCCCCACCCCCACCCCCACCCCCACCCCCAGAACAGCCCGCTTCCTTATTCTCTCACCACATCCTGAGCAGTTCTGGCCGGCCCATGGCCCAGCATTTACCCACTCAGCCCTACCAGCCTTCCTGCCCCCACCCCAGGCTTCCTGTTTGGGTGATCTGCTTCCCGCTCCCCTTCTCCCTCACCTAGGTATGGTCACTACCACAGGTTCTGCCCTGCTCTCATATGGTCCCCAAACTCCAGGCCTCCCTCTGCTTTTCCTCCCCAAAGGCAGAGGCCAACCTCAATAGGAAGTCACTTGTTTGAACGCCTCATCCAGGCAGTTCCTGACCTACTTCCTCACATCTGCCCAGCCCAGGAAAGAAGGGGCTGGTTGCAGCCAGAGTGCTCAGGATAGACTCAGGTACCATGGCTCAGGGATGGGAGCTTGAGCTTCATGTGAGATGAACCTGGGGAGCAAGTGACCTGCAAGCTTCATCTAGGTCATTGGTCCCTGTGGTTTCCCACTGACCAGGGACACACAAAAGAACCAAATCTGAGGATGTCAGAGGAGATGAGGACTGCAGACTAGGAAGGGCTTCCTGGTCACTGGGGAGATGTGTTTGGTGCAGGGACCTCTCTCTCCTTAGACATTTTCAAACTGGAAACTGGGTGGTGTGCGAGGAAGGGACTGGGCTGAAGCCAGCCAGGGCAAGAAGCCTGGCTGATCCCACTTCCTGCACTTCGTCCTTTTTCCAGTTTTAACCTCTGATCCTCTGCTGGCTTCAGCCCCCGCCCCTGTCCCCAACTTCCATTGTATTCCCTGCTTTGGGCACAGGGCCTCCAAAGTTACTTCTCTCTTTTGCTACCCCAAGGGGAGGGAGAGGCCAGGGCAGCAAGGGCAGCAGGAAGACTGGAGAGGGAGGGAAACCAACTGCTGAGCCAGTTCTGGGGAAGGAGGGGAAGCCCAGGGAAGAAGGAAAAAGGGGAAGGGGAGGGGGAATTTTGGAAGAAGAGAAGGCTTTTCTTGTCCCAAGAGAGAAGGGAGCACTGTCTAAGGCAGTGGCCCAGCTGGGGGTGTGTAACCCTGAGGTCACCCACTTCAAATGGCCTCTGTGTGCGCCTCTCCCATGGAGCAGATTTGAGGTTCAGAAGTCTTCTCTTGGCTCTTTGGCCAGCCCTATTCCATCCCCTCATCCCCTCACCCCCTCCCGCGGACATCCCCTCATTCAGCTCTGCCCCCTCAGCCTTGGGGTTGAGACCTTCCTCCACTCACTTCTCTCTGGAACCCCAAAGCCACCCGCTGTGCCTCTTCAGGCTTCCTGCCCCAACATCCTCTTCCCTGGAAGGCTGTATGTGCTTTCAACCTGATGACCCTGCTCCCATAGATTCTAGGCTGGAGCCTCAGTCTGACTCTCCCACCAGGAGGGCTGGGTTTGGCATGGCTCAGAGGAAGGGAAGAAATGGGGCGGCCCAGGGGAGGGGGAGCTGAAGGGGCAGGGAGGAAGGACCCAGAGCCCGAGGGTGAAGAGTGAGCAGCCTGGGCACACCCTGGGAGACACACCCAGGGACAGCACTTGATTTGGGACAGAACCCTTGGGCTTGGAAATGAATGGAAAATGAGGGCTACAACAAGAAGGAAGGGTGCGCATAGAGGAGGAAGGGTAGTGGCAGGAATTAACAAGAAAGAATAGAGGAAGACAAGAATACAGGGCTATAAAAAAGAAAGGAGACCAGAGAGAGCTGAGGCTTCGGAGAAGTCTGAGGGCTGCTCCCTACCTGTTTGTGGTGCCTTTCGGGGGACCCCTTGACAAGGCAGCTGCGGCTGAGGCGGAGGTAGCCCCCCAGAACCAAGATCTCCTCCGCAGTCGGGTACCGCTTCTTCCCAACTCCAGGAACTGCAGCATCAGCCGTGGCTGGGGTGGCAGGAGTGCTGGGGGCTGCAGGGGGCACAGACCGCCGGGGGTTGACTGTGAAGGTGTGTCCACTGCGGCGAGGGGTCCCCACCCCTGGCCCTGCCTTCACCCCATAGAACAGACGGTTCATGAGGGGATCCCCAGGGGACTGGGGAGCAGGTGGGGCTGGGGGTGGGGGAAACAGAGGGGCTGTTGGTGGGGGCCGGAGATCCACCGCTTCCTCTTCCTGCCTCGTAGAGCCTTTAGTCCCAGCGTCCTCTGGTGGGAAGGGGGAGGGCACAGAGCTATAGTTCTGCGGGGTTCTCAGAGGCCTGCTCAGAGCCCCTGCCTTCTCCTTCTCAGCCTCCCCTTCTCCAGCCTCTGTACCAAGAGGCCCCCGATACTTCTCAGCAGCCTCTGGGGGGACTGGTTTCTGAGGTTGAGTCTCTGTGTCCCTGGGTGTCCGTTCTCGAACCTTTCCAGAGTTCAGGGTCCATTTCCAGCCTTCTGTCAGCCTCAGGCCCCTCTCACTGTCCTCCACAGGGCCGGGCCTTTGCTCTGCTGCCTCCACCTCTCCAGAGCTGCTGTCTGGAGCCTCCCTTGTCAGGGTCTCTGACACCTTTGTAATCTCTTCTGAGGCCACTGTTGGAATTGGTCTCTCTTCTTTTCTCCTACATTCCTCCGAACAGTCTTTTCTTTCTTCTTCTGAGCTGGGCCTCCACCCTGATGCCTCCCGTTGTACCAAACTCTGTTCCTGAGACTCTCCAGAGTCGGGCCTCCATTTATGGGACTCTGACAGCTCCAACTTCTGGTTGTCAGATTCTGCGGGGCTCAGTCTACTTTCCACCACCTCTTTTCTCCTGGGGCTTTGTTCTGCAGGCTCTGCCAGTCTCAGACTCCACTCTGGAGTTTCTCCAGGGCTCAGCCTCCATTTCCGTGCCTCTGACAGTCTAGAGCTCCTGTCTCCAGACTCTCCTGGGCTCTGCCTCCAGTCCCAAGCCTCTGAAGGTCTGGGGCTCAACTCTCGGGCTCCCCCTATCCCCAACTTCCTCTCTCTGGCCTCCCTGGGACTGAGCCGCTCTTCTTTTGAGTCTCTTCCCTTGGGGCTCTGATCTCGAATTTCCCCAGGACTGGGTCTCCTCTCCCGGGCCTCCAAAGGCCCAGGCCTTCTCTCTGCAAGTAACTCTTCATTGCGCTGCTGCTGCTGCTGCTGCTGCTGCTGCTGCTGCTGCTGCTGGCGCTCCTGCCGAATGAATCGGTTCTGGTGCACTGGCCCAATGGCTTCTAGGAGGACAGCCGACTCATCTGGGTCTGGAGGTCCAGCCTCTGTAGTCTCAGGGGCAGGGCTAAGTTCTCCAGGAGACAGACCAAGCTTGGCCCGGCGGCGCTCCAGGATTCCCCGCTTCCAGGCTGGCATCTGGGACAGACGATCCCGCTCAGCCTTCTCCCGGCCACGAAGGGCCGCCTCCTCCTGCCGCCGTCGGGCTAGCAGCTGTAGCTTCCAGTCTGGGATGGTAGCCATGGTCGCGCTGGGGTAAGGGTGGGAAGTGCTGGGCTAGAGAACAGGAAAGAGAGGCTCCAGAGGTCCTGGGGGAGGGGGGAGGGGAAGGAGAGGGGGAGAGGTGGGACACAGAGACGGGCCCCGGAGCTGAGGGTGAAGGCAGAGGGGAAGGGTGAGAAGATGGAGGGCAAAGTAAGGGGGAAACAGAAAGTGAAAAAGCAGTGGGCCAAGTGGGGGTGGCGTTGCGGCCCTGAGAGGAAGAATAGAGATTCAGGGCAAAGAGGCAGGAGTCAGAGTTGGCAGTGCAGGGTTCATGGTCTCCGGGAGGCCCGAGGATGTGAGGGGAGAGAAGGGCGGAAAAGAAGTAACGAGGGAGGAGAGAGACCGACAGGCCGGGGGGCGGGGGCGGGGGCGGGGGCGCTGCGAGGAGGAGGACCCAGGCTGGGTTTCCCCACCGCTGCCCCAGAGGCGGAGGGCGGGGAGGGGTCCGGGATCCCGCCGAGAGGGCGAGGCGGGACGAGAGGGGCGTCGGGGAGCCGGGAGGAGCCGGCGTCCGGGGGAGGCCGCGGGGCGCGCGTGTCTGCGCCCAGCCCGGGCTCCCGGCCCCGCCCGCCGCGTGCAGTCGGGGCACCCCCCGCCGGGGACCTTCGGGACGCGGGGCCCGGCTGCCGGCCAGCTCCCGGAACCCCGGCGCCCGCCCCCGCCCCCGCCCCTCCTGCGGCGGCCCCCGGCCCGGCCGCGCCCCGGCTCCGCGCCCCGAGTCTGCCGCCAGGCCCGGCCCGGGCTCGCGCGCCCCCGCACACCCGGCCACCCCCCCACCCCACCCCACCCCCGGCTCGGAGCGCACCGACAGGCGACCTCGGCTCGACGCGGGGCGGCCCGAGGTCCGGGCGGGGGCGGGGGCGGGCGCCGCGAGACACCCCGCCCCGCGTCTGCAGCCCCTCGGCCGACTCACACGCGCGGGGCTCCCACGGGAGGGGTGCGGAGGAGCCAGCGCCCGGGGGAGGCGGAGAGGAAGAGGAGGAGATGGGGGCCGGGGGAGGGGCGGCGGGAGGGGGACCGAGACCCGGGGGCCGGGCGGGGGGCGGCGACCGCTTTGTCTGAGGACAATGGGGAGGGAAGGGGGCGCGGGGCGGGGGCGCGGGCGGGGCCGGGGCGGGGCGCGGGCGGGGCCGGGGGCGGGGCGGGGCCGGCTCCCGAGCCCGCGCGTGGGCCCCGCCCCCCCGGCTCCCCTTCTCGCGCCCGAGCCCTGGCCCGGCCCTCCTCCCGGGAGCCCTGGAGAACGCAGGTGTCCAGGCCCTCGCCGCCCCCGCCGGCCCCAGGCAGCCGCCCGCCCGCGACTCGGGCCCCTCGAGGGACTTGGAGGGGACGCGGCGGCTGCCCCGGCCCGGCCCGGCCCTCCCCAGGCGGCGGCCTCTCCCGGCCAGCCTCGGTCACTGCGGGGTCCCGGGCGGCCACCGGGCTGCGGGCGGCCGGAGAGGTGCTCGGAAGCCAACGGCCTTGGTAACTGGCCCCCACGACAGCCGCTGCCCAGCCTTTAGCTTCAGCCTGCGTCCCGTGGGCCCCGGTCTACGGCGGGGAAACTGGGGACTTGGAGGAAGGGGGCTGGGCCTGGGGGGGTGCCCGAGGGGCCGCCGCCCAGCGGTCGCCAGAGGGCGCCGTGGCTGTCCGGACTCGACTTCGGCGTGCCTGGGCTCTGCTTGCCTTCCCTCCAAAGTCAGCCCTCTAGTTAGAGACACACTGATAGACTGCATGCCATATGTAGAAAAAACAGGCTGAATTTTATTTTTCCGCTGCAGACGTTCCTCGGGAGGGCAGAGATCTCTTAAGTCACCAACATGAAGGGCGGGAGGATCCTCTCAGGTTAGAGGACAGAGCCCAGGGCCAGCGCCTAAGGAGAGGCAAGGCCTAAGGAGGGGCTAGGTGCCTCAGCAGGGCTGGCATTACCATCAAACCTGCAGACCCTGATCCTACTCCTAGGAAGGGAGGCCTGAGGGGGAGAAGGGGATCCCTGAGGTGTAGAAGGGTGCAACAGTGGGAGGGAAGTGGGCAGGCCCACCCTTCTTCCTTAGAAGGACGTTCTTAAGGTGGGGTGGAGGTGGGTCAAGGCCTAAACTGTGAGGAAACACTGAAGTTCGCCCCCCTTCTTCCCTGGTTTGGTGAGAAGTAGATCTTGGGGTCCAGCGGTTGAAACTCAGGATTTAGGGTATGGAGCTGGACCCAAGGAGTGGAGGCTTAAACAGGGGAAGGGATGGCCCCTTCAGTCCATAGATTTGGGCCTCTGGTCTGAAGCAGCCAGAGCCCAGATGTTAAAGGGCTTGGGACCAGGTTAGCTCCTCACTCGGCCTCACCTTCCTGGGGCCGGGAGAGCAAGTGGAGTTTTCTTTGTAACTGGGCCCGGAGGTAGCGGAGGTCTTGCTGGTCAAGCCCATGAGCCAGGCCCAGGTAGAGGGTAAGGAGGAGAGCAAGGAGGAGGCGGTCAGTGCCCAGGGTGGGCACCACCCACAGCACCATCAGCAGCTCCACACACACTGGATGGCGCAAGTGGGAGAAGAGTCTCAGAGCCCGGGGAGACTTCAGGGCCAGAGGTTCACCCAGGCCCAGCACATGGTAGTACACCTAGGAGGGAAAACAGCTTAGAAATGAGGTCAAGCCCCTTTTGCAGCTTAGCCACCTCTTTCCTCCCCTTCCAGGAAACTTCCCTTTCTATAACTTAGGCCCAAGAACCACCCTTCTGAGACCTGGGTCCCTGGTCCTCATCTTGGGTTCACAAACTTTCCCTAGGCCCAGGAAGCCCATGGTTTCAGGCCTTCAATGGAGAGCTGAGGGGAGACTGTTTTATAAAAAAGGGAGGTAGGTGAGGGAGCTGAAGAGGAAGTTGGAAGAGCATGGGAGAAGGAACAGAGAGAGATCCTTGGAAGGGAAAAAGGCATTCTAGATGGAATCATAGGTCTTAGGTAGGAATCTGGGAGCCTTACCTGTTTGAGGCCCATGAGCTCGGCATAGTCAAAGACGAGAAGGATGCTGAAGATGAGAAGCCAGGATATGACGTGGAGCACAAAGCAGAGGAGGGGCACCCAGGTGGCCCATGGTTCAGCCCGAGCCTCCCACAACACAGGGCCTCTGGGTACAGGTTCCCAGTACCGCATCACCAACTGGGGAAGGATGAGGTGCTGAGTATCTCGCTGGGTACCTAAGCCCAGAGGCTGTCCCCACCCGAGGTTGGCCTGGAGCTGTCCCTGCCTCTACCATGAGCGTCACAAACAGTCATCACGTGGAAGGTGCTCGGTGGAGTCCTAAGTATGTAAGGATGACCTGTATCTACCCTGAGGACTTACAAAACAGATGGGGGTGACCAGATAGGTCCATAAAGTAGGCTATGCCAGGCACTCACTGACAAGTGAGTGCCAACTGGAAAGCCTTCTCTTCAGACCTAGGGAGGTGATTCGAAGAAAGGGTAGCACTGAAAGAGGTATTACTAAGGGGATCTCAAGCAGAACAACATGAACAAAGTTGCAAAGGTGAGAATACACAAATCTGCTTGGGGAATGAGGAATGGTACACCATTCTTGATAAGAAGGATATGTGCTGCAGAGGAATGGAAGCGGAGATTAGAGTCCCGAACACCCTCAGTTCCCCTAAAACCACATTTTCAGAAGGTAAGGTCCTTGCCTCTCCAATCTAGGACACCCTTCTCACAGATAGTTTCCCTTGGGGACTCAGTGGCCAAGACCTCATACCTGCAAGGCCAGGGCAGTGCATGCCACATACAGTGACCTCTGAAGGACCCCAAAATATCGAGACATCCATGCCTTCACGATTTCAGTTGCCATGAGGCTGTGCTGCCCCACAAATAATAGGAGGAGACCCAGATCCCAAGCCAGGGGAACAAGGATGCTGCGGTCCTGCACGGCAGCCAGCCATCCCTGGCGGGCATCTAGGGGTTTTCAAAGAAAGGGACAAAAGATCAAAAAGGTCGTGGAAAACACCCCCTAACCCGATCTCCTTTTGCGGCCCCCATCCCTGCCCCCTTCATGCTTCCTCTCTAGGCTTTGCCTGCCTTGCTCTTCCATTCCCTGCTCCTTCCCCTTTCCCCTGGCCTCCTACAGAGTGGCGAGGGGGTTTCCTGCAGAGTAGCCGGAAAGGCAAGGCTGGAGAGGCAGCCCTCTGGTTCGGTGCTCCACACGCTCCCTCTAACACTCTCCCCTCCATAGTCCTCTCCGTAAAAGCACTTTCCTTTCCTCGCTTATCGCCCTTGCTCTCCCCACGGCCCTCACTCTTGCGTCTTCAAACCGCTAATCCCCGAGTTCCTAATTCAGCGCCCTGGTCCGCCCCGAAGCTCCTCCGGCTTCCAGGGCTGCAGCTCCCTCTCCCGGACTTCCTCCGTCCGAGGTCTCCAAGTCCCGCCCCCCGCCGCGGCCGGCCCCACCTCCCGTCCCAGAGCTCGTCCGCGGTCCCGCGGGCTCACCCGGACCGCCAGGCTCCGGGGCCCCTCCGAGAAGTGGCCGAAGAGAGGTGAAGCGCACGAACTCCACCCCGGTGCCAAAGGCCAGGATGAATGAGGCAAGGGCAGCAGGGATCAGGAGCAGAGCTGGGGCCATGGCGACCCACGGAGGGGTGGGGGAAGGGGCAGGCCTGGAGTTCCCGCTGCCGCAGGCCCCGCCCCGGGATCCGCCCCCGCCCCGGCGTCCTGCCCAGGAAGGCGGGGCTCCTGCGCTCGGCGGACCGGGCTGCGCAGCTCGCGTCCGCGGCGCGCCCCCGTTCACACTGCCTGCCCTGCGGGCCCCGGGTTCCCTGCCCCGAGTTCCCGCGTCACCGAGAGGTGTCAGAACTCCGAGGGACAAACGGGAAGGGCAGGGGTCCTGCGGCCGCTCCAGTGGGTTGAGTCGCAGGCTCGGCTACTTGTCTCATCTGAAGTGAAGCCAGTTCGTCTCTTTGAGGATTCTTGTAGAAACCGAGAATTATAAGCCCCCTTTCTGTGACCTGGCCAGAGGTTACACTTCACTAATTAGCGGTGAGAGAGCAGAAGATTGTAGACCGAGTCTGAGAACCCGAAGCTCTCAATCACCCATTACGTCTTCTTAAAGACTATTTTACCATGAAGTAAATTAATGTTTATTCTGTAACTTATTCTCTCCACTTGCCAAGGGCAAAAAACTTCTTGTAACACAGATTATTTCTAATAGTGCCAAAGGCTGTTGATTTGTAATCATGAGCGTAACAATGTTAAAATATTTGTGATAGAAAATTTTGTTGTAAACTTTGTAGTATATTAATTTCATCCAAGCCTGTGATAATTCACTATGACTTTACTCTGCAAGCTTATTAGTCTGACCCCACTTATTAGTGAGAAACCGCCAAGATCTATTTTCTGAACACATTTTCCTTTGGACCTGTTTGTAATACCTACAGACTGATATATCTGAAAAAGTATAAGTAATGTTTTCCTCCATCAGAATTAAAGATTATGTTGCTAAGGACCTAGTCAGAGTAGCTATGACCGTAGCAGGGAAGTGAGACATCATTAAGTGAAATCCCTCCCGTGGCTTATAGACAGGAAATACAAAGAAAATTTACCAAGATGAGAATTAAGTTGCTGCTAGTCCTGTGGGTTCATGAATGAGAAAATTGCTAGACAGCATCCCACAGCCTTTACACTCCTCTTGGAGTCCCGTTCTCCCACCCTCCTCTTAATCAATGCTGTCGTAAACTGTTACCAGACATCTTAGGTTTTTCCTCCAGATGCACCCTCCACCCCCTTGAACCAACGCTTCAAGAAGTTGTCCTGAATTCACTGTATCAATGAAAAGCACAGCTTTGGGGGCTTTAAAAAAAAAATCACAGCTTTCATTGAGGAAGCCCTCTCTGCATAACTGCTCCTTTCTGTCAAGCATTAGGAGTTAAGGTGTGGACACAAGAGCTGTGGGTACTGGAGTACTGCAACATCATGATTTCTCTAACTCTCCCAACTTCTTTGTAATTTTCACTTTATTAAACTCTCTCCAAATTATTTTTTCAAGATTTTATTTATTCATTAGATAGAGAGAGAGAAGCAGAGACACAGGCAGAGGGAGAAGCATTCTGCCTGCAGGGAGCCTCATGCGGGGCTCCATCCCAGGACCCCAGGATCGTGACCTAAGCCAAAGGCAGATAGATGCTCAATCACTGAGCCACCCAGGTGCCCCAGTCTTCAAATTTTTCTAATTTCACTGTACCATCATGTTCTGCTAGGACTCTGATTGAGATACTTCTCATTTGTGCTACAAGCTATATAGTATTTATTAAAAATGTAAAAAAGGATCTCTATTTTCCAGAAATTTAAACTGGGGCACTTCAATGTCACTAAGTAGGAGTGCACAAGTGCTAAGTGGGAATATAGAGGCAGCTGATATTGTAAGGAATCCTGAGGACCTCAAGGCCATAGTCAGTTTTACACAGTACAGGCTCCGAGTTATACAAGCAGACTAACATTTATTTGGGTCCTATCATGTGCCACACCTACAATGGCTGTGCTTAATATTTATTGAGACATGTTTGTATGTTTAAAAGTGAGCAGCATTTGGTAAAGCTCATGTTCTTTCTACTACACCAAAGTTTTACAAACTTAAGTATAATTTACTCGCAGAAAAGTCACAAACTAATCACCCATCATTTTTATTAAGGTGAAATTCACGTAACAAAATTATTTTAAAAAGAATAGTCTAGGGCAGCCCCGGTGGTACAGTGGTTTAGCGCCACCTGCAGCCCAGGATGTGATCCTGGAGACCCTGTATGGAGTCCCACGTCAGGCTCTGTGTGGAGCCTGCTTCTCCCTCTGCTTGTATCTCTGCCTCTCTCTCTCTCTGTGTCTCTATGAATAAATAAATAAAATCTTAAAACAAAAAAAGAGAGAGAGAGAATAGTCTAGGGATGCCTGGGTGGCTCAGCAGTTGAGCGTCTACCTTCAGCTCAGGGCATGATCCCGGGGTCCAGGATTAAGTCCCTCATCGGGTTTCCTGCAGGGAGCCTGCTTTTCCCTCTGCCCGTGTCTCTGCCTCTTTCTCTGTGTCTCTCATGAATAAATAAATCTTTTTTTTAAAAAAAGTCTAGTGACATTTAATACATTCATAATTTGGGCAGTCACCTTATCTCTAGTTCAAAGCATTTGCATCCCTCCAAAATAAATCCCTGTACCCATTAAGCAGCCATTCCCCACTTCCCCTTCTTCTGGCAACAACCACTCTACTCTGTCTCTGCACTTACCTATTCTAGGTATTTCATGTAAGTGGAATCATCCAAGGTGACCTTTTGTGTTTGGGTCCTTTCGCTTAGTATAATGCTTTTGAAAGTTCATCCTTAAAACACTGTAACATGAATCAGTACTTCATCTCCCTTTATGGATGAATAATATTCCACTGTATAGATATTCCACATGTGTTTATTCACATAAATAATGTTGATAGACATTTTTCTTTTCACCTTTTTGCTCTTGTGAAGTGTGGATATAAACATTTTTGTACAAGTATTTGTTTCAACACTCTAATTCTTTTGGGTGTATACCTACTAATGGAATTACTGGGTCATTTGGTAATTCTACATCTAATTTTTTTTGAGAAACTGTCAGGTTGTTTACCACAGTAGCTGAACCATTTTATATTCCTACCAGGAATGTATAATAAGGGTTATAATTTCTCCATATCATTGTAATCAACCAACTTTCTTAAAATTTAAATTTAAGATATGTTTAAAAAAAAAACGCACTAAAACAAAAACAAAAAACCGCACTACACCATAAGGCACAGAGTGAATATTTAATTTATCAGACGTTAAACCTAAGCTAATTTTGTAAACACTGGAAAAGCAGGCCAGAAAAGTGCAGAGATTTGCTCAAAGTCAAAGCTAAAGAACGCTTCTAACACGATGGAGGAGAAAGGAAAATATTCTAGAGGATTCCATAACTCCAACTTCAAATTTACTCACTCCCAGCATCCCTTCAAGTTCCTGACACTAAAACTGTTCCACTATCTTTCAGAGGATGAGTAAGGATCCCAGTAAGAGGAAAAGAAGTGGCTTCCAAATGGGAGGTAGGGTACTGTGTCTGCCCAGAGCAGTAAGTACATTGGTTCTGCTAAGATATCTGAGTATGGTACCACCGAACTCTAAGTGACCACTTAAGAAATCTGTGGCTCCAGACCTCCCTATCTGTTGTTTACCCATAATATTCCAAGATAAGTCAGGTCAAGTTACCCCAATCCTCTCTAAAGCCCTAGGTTCTTTCTTCCAAATCTTACTCTAACACTTTTATTCACTGGTCTGGGAGGGAAAAGAGTACTGTAGTGACATTTTCAGGAGGATGACATTTCCAAAGTGGAGAAGATGAACGCCTCTGGCTTGGCTTCCTGCTTTAGCACTCCTGTTAGCAGGAACTCAGGTGAGAGGATGGGCAGCCCAATCCGAAACGGAATAGAGCATCGAGGGAAGTCCTGGGAGCATGTAATCACAACTCTCTGAGGCTGGGGAAAGACAGCAAAGACAAAGTCAGGGGTGAAAAAGAATCCTAGGAATAGGTTCAGAACCCACGAATCAGTTTCAGCATCACTGAAATAGATTCCCTGATATGAAGCACTTGCCAAAAGTACTCTTGCCAGAAAAGCCAAACCTGAATTTATTCAAGCTTTTATTTTTATTTAAAAAAATGTTTTTATTTTAAAGATTTTATTTATTTATTCATGAGAGACACAGAGAGAGAGGCAGAGACAAAGGCAGAGGGAGAAGCAGGCTCCATGCAAGGGAGCCCGAAGTGAGACTCAATCCTCTGTCTTCAAGATCACACTCTGGGCCAAAGGCAGGTGCCAAACTGCTGAGCCACTCAGGCATCCCTATTCAAGCTTTTAAAATTAACTATAGTTTATAAGGAATGTAAAAGAAGAACAAGATAAATGACACAGCATGGGGGCAAACAGTAAAACCCAGACGGGAACATTCTAAAAAACAGCTGACCTAGTTTCTGCAGGAAGTCAATGGAATTAAAAAAAAAAAAAAAAAAAAAAAAGCCTGGGTGGGTTGGGGGTGGGGGGAAGATCTTCTAGAGTGAAAGAGAATAAAGAGATATGCAATTGTGGCAATACATAGACCTTGTTTGAATCCTGATTTGAACTGTAAAGAGAACTTTTTGGCCAACTGGAGAAATCTGACTAAAGGAGTATGACAAAATGACTAAGAAGCTATTGTTAATTTTGTTATGGATCAATAATTGCATTGTCATTACATTAAAAAAAAAGTACATAATTTCCTAGAAAAGTATATTTTAAGTATATAGGGGGAAATAATATGATATATGCAGTTTCCTTTAAAATAGTTCAGCAAGGGACGCCTGAGTGGCTCAGCAGTTGAGCGTCTGCCTGCAGCTCAGGATGTGATCCCAGGATCCAAGATCAAGTCTCACATCGGGCTCCCTTGGAGGAGCCTGTTTCTCTCTCTACCTGTATCTCTGCCTCTCTGTCTCTCATGAATAAATAAATCTTTTTTTTTTTTTTTTTTTTTTTTAATTTTATTTATGATAGTCACACAGAGAGAGAGAGAGGCAGAGACACAGGCAGAGGGAGAAGCAGGCTCCATGCACCGGGAGCCTGACGTGGGATTCGATCCCGGGCCTCCAGGATCGCGCCCTGGACCAAAGGCAGGCGCCAAACCGCTGCGCCACCCAGGGATCCCCTGAATAAATAAATCTTAAAAAAAAAAAAAAAAAAAAAACCCAACTAAAAAAATAAATAAAATAGTTCAGCAAAGAAAAACAATACATGAAGAAAATGTAGCAAAATCTAAACTACCTTGTTAATTCTGAGTGATTGATATATGGAGGTTCATTGATGATAGAGGTTCTCTCTGTATGTTTGAAAATTTTAAAAATACAATACAAATAAATCCACCTGGAATCAACAGACTTCTCCTTCATCCCTATCCCTTTACATACTACAGGGCTCCCCTATCCTCTCAATACTTGTGTTCCCACCCATACCTTATAAGACCGGGGCATGCTGGGTAGTACAGTGCCTCCACAGCAGCTGATGATCTCTCCCATCTGAGGTGGTGGTGGCTGGACTCCTGGAGTCACATGGATCTCATAGCCCTAAGAGAAAGAAAATGGTGGAGGCCACAGATGTATGCACTGAGAGGCTATGAATAGCTGGGGAGCCTCAGGAGGGAGGGTTGGAGCATGGGGCACAAAACAGCCTCTTACCTCCAGCAACCTTTGCTCCCGAGCCCGGCTCAGAGCATCTCGAAGGCTGAAGCCAAAGTTCTTCTCCTGCTCAGGATCAGTCACCACATATTCATCCGGGGGCAAAAAGCAACCAGCCTTGTGGGACTAAGGACAGTAGCAGTCAGCATCAAAGCTCAGCCCAAGCTCACCACCCAGCTCTTCTGCCTAGCATTTGGAGGGAGCTTACAAAATGTTTTTTGAATTAAGCTTTCTGCTTCACTCACCTCCCTTGTCTTCCTGGGCCCCTCCTTCCCCTTTCTAGGGCACCCTGAGAGTAGTTTTCTGCCATGGTACCTCTGCTGTCATCTTCTAGCCTCTCACCTGGTGGAGCCAATCCAAGGAGAGGATGGGAATCCCCCGCCCCAGGGCACACAGGAACTTGACCGTACGGCGGACTCGATCAGTCACCAAGTGGGAAGCCTCTGCCACTGAGCTGGCCAGACTCCCCCCCAGGGCCAGCACTGCCCGCTCACCACGGGCATCCACCACTCCTGTGAAGAGAACCTGCGGAGGGAGTTAGCTTGAGCTGGACACAGCAACCCATGCCATCAGCGCCTGTTTCCAAACCCCTTGGTATCCTCCCATCCTCCCACATCTGCCTCCCACCAAGCCCCATGCCCCTTCTCTCCTACTTTGGGGGCTGTGGACTCTTGGTTAGGTTTGGTTCGTCTAAGACTGCGGCTTGGGATTCCCTTGGGCTCCTCCTCTGCTTGGTCTCTCTTTCTCTTGCCTGGTCCTGGAACCACTACATCCTGGGATTGAAAAAGATCTTGCTGGGAGTTTCGGAGCCTCCAAGCCCTTTCCTAGCTTCACAGTCAGGCCCTGTCCTCACCTCTTCCTCCCTTGGCCTCTCCATTGGATCTTCTTCCTCCTCCTTGAGGAACACTGTCTCCTGGGTGACTTCTCCTCTTTGGTGCCGTTTTTGAGGTGGGGGTGAATCCACAGTAGCCAAAGGCCTCTTGTGGCTCTGAGAGGCCTTAGGTGGGGGCCCCAGGGTGAACTCAGATCTGCCTGCTGCCTCCAACTTGTGGATCTGGGTAGCATGAGTGGGGGCTTCAGGAAGCTGGGCAAAGGCCGGCTTGGGAATGGTCCTGAGGGACTCAACTGCTCTCGCTGCTCTTTGTCTTTGGTTCCTTGAGGACCGAGATTTAGGTTCAGGGAGTACAGAGTAGGGCTCACAGATAATGGGAGCTATAAGGGACTTATGGTTCCTAGTGGCCCTCAGCCTCCTGCTGCAATTGGCTTGAGAGATGGGCTCAGGGGGAATAGGCTGGTCTGTGGGGACAGAAGGCTGGAATTCAGGAGTGGTAAGAACTGGCACAGCACTTATTGTAGAAGACCTTAGCATCTTACCCTGACTTCCCTGAACCTTGGGGGAGAACAGTTGATCTGTGGGGGTGAGAGATTCAAGATCAGGGGCTGTGGGTTCAATTGGCTGGGGCATCTTGACAAAGGACCTATGTGTCCTGCCCCGAGTGGCCCGAGATGTGGGCTCAGGAGTGACAGGCTGATCTGTGGAGATAGAAGGCTGGGGTTCAGGCACTGTGGGGGCAACTGGTTCAGGGGTCTTGATAGAGAACCTTTGTGTCCTACCCCGAGTGGCCTGAAATGCAAGTTTGGGGGTGACAGGCTGGTCTGTGGGGGTGCAAGCCTGGAGCTCAGGGACTGTGGAGACAACTGATGTGGGAGTCTTGCTAGAAGACTTAGGTGTCCTGCGCTGAGATGTACGTTTGGGGGTGACAGGCTGGCCTTTGTGGGTGGTAGGCTGGAGCTCAGTGGCTGTGGGGACAGTTGGCTTAGGAGTCTTGAGAGAAGACCTGTGTGTCCTCCTGTGAGTGGGCTCAGTGATGACAGACTGGTCTTTGGAGGTAGAAGGCTGAAGTTCAGGAGCTGTGGGGACAGTTGGTTCAGGGGTCTTGACAGAGGACCTACGTGTCCTGCCCCAAGTGATCTGAGATGTGGGCTCAGGGGTGACAGGCTGGTCTTTGGGGATAGTAGGCTGGACTTCAGGAGCTGTTGGGACAATTGGCTCAGGAGTCTTGACAGAAGACCTACGTGTCCTGCTGTGAGTGCCCCCAGATGTGTGCTCAGTGATGACAGACTGGTCTTCAGAGGTGGAAGGCTGGAGTGCAGGAGCTGTGGGGACAGTTGGTTCAGGGATCTTGACAGAGGACCTACGTGTCCTGCCCCAAGTGACCTGAGATGTGGGCTCAGGGGTGACAGGCTGGTCTTTGGAAGTAGAAGGCTGGAGCGCAGGGGTTGTGGAGATGTCTACTTTGGGAGTCTTGACAGAAGACCTAAGTGCCCTGCTCTGAGTGGCTGTGGAGACAACTGGTTCAGGAGTCTTGACAGATTTACGTGTCCTGCCTTGAGATATGGGCTCAGCAGTGACAGACTGGTTTTTGGAGGTGGAAGGCTGGACTTCAGGGACAAGGAGTTCAGGGGTCTTGAGAGAGGACCTACATGTCCTGCCCCGAGTGACCCGAGATGTGGGCTCAGGACAGAGGGGCTGGTCTGTGGGGATGGTTGAGTGAGGTTCAAGGGCTAAAGAAGAAATTGCAGAGAGTGTCTTCCTGGAGGACCCTCGGAGCCTGACTTTGGATTTTGGGTACAGAGGCTCCATCTCTGAGGATAAAGGAGTCCCTGGAACTTCCTGATTCCCATTTTGCCTGGTCCTGGGAATGGGCTCTAAAGAAGATGGAGAGGAAGAAAGGAAGGGCTGAGACACAGGATGTTTTTGACTCTGAGAGAGGAGGGGGTTGTGGTGTGGGGTTGAAGCTTCAGGCACTGCAGCAGGCAGATGAGCATCTGTGGATTCCTGATCACCCTGAGGAGAAATAGAAGTAAGTGAGGGAGGAAGAGGCAGAGAAGAGAGACAGTACTTAGATACTATTCTTGATACTTGTTTATGGTTAGAGTGTGTTCCTGGCACTTCACTTGTCTGTAACCTCCCTTCCATGAGACTTGGAACTTCCTAGGGAGGAAGCAGTCCTCATTCCCACAGTTCTATCCTCATGCCAGTATAGTGTTCCCCACAGATGGATGATGGTAATAAAAGGATGGCTGGAAAAAGATGGGAAAGACATGAAAAAAAAAAAAAGACATTCTAAGTCAGGCAGAGGGAGACAGACCTTGGGAAACAGATATGGAAAATGATAGGTGTGAAGGGAAAGGTACAGAGCCAACTAAGGAGTGGTGACAATGGAAGAAAATTGGGAAGCTGGAGAAAGGAAGAGATTAAAGCAAGGTCAGGGGAAGGGGCAGTGAAATAGAGGGAGGTAGAAAAAGCAGTTCTCACCACAGAGGCCTTCTCAGCAGGTGGCGCCTTGCAAGTCAGGTGGCCTAGACAGAAAGTAAAAACAAGTGTATGTAGCTGGGGTCTAAGCACTCAGCCACTTAGGGGTTGTTTAGCACAAGTGCTGTGTACCACCTTAGGTTCCCCTCTGCCTTCACTTACCTCTCTCCTGCCTGCTGGGGCTCATCGGGGCTCCACCTGACTGGCTCCCAGAAGCTCCTGGGACTGAAGCAAGTCCCTGCTGGGCCCCCATCCCTGCACTAGGCTCTGGTGTTAGACTGGAGGCCTGCCCTTCCTGGTCTTGGCTCCCTTTCTCTATCTCCCCTCTCTGTGGGCCTCTCTCCAGTTTTACTTCTGGTACCTTCATGCCTAATCCACTTGGCTCACCCTCTCTCTCTAGTATTGGTTTCTCTGCTTCTCTCTCAAATATTTCTCTTGCAATAAACTGCTTTTCTGTCTCTTTCTCTTGTGCTTCCCTGGGTATCTCAATTTCTATGTTTAAACTCTCCATGTTCCTTTCAGTACTTGCACTTTTCACCTTTTGGTCAGACTCTTGTCCCTGATTATCTCTAGCTAACACCCATATCCCTCTAGTTAACTCTTCTCCTAACACATCTTCTCTCTCTCCTGCTGGCAGCTTCTTGGTTTCCCTGTCCAATGGGCCTCTCTCAGGGGCCACCTCCTCTGGTGCTTCTCTTGGTGTACCCATGTCTTTCTCCGCAGTCTGCATCCCTCTGCCTTGAATCCCCAGTGGCTCTGCATGAACTGGGCTCTCTGGATGTTGGGCTTGTGGTGCTGTCCTAGGTGTAGAGGGGCAAGATCCATGGGCATCAATGTGGGCAGCAATGGGCTGGGGCTCAGAGGCCTCAGACTCTCTTGGACAGAATGGCTGTGTTGCCAAGACTTCCCACGGCTCATCCAGGGCACCTGGAAGTAAAGAGTCAGGGAGAGAGAGAGAGAGACAGAGAGACAGAGAGATAGAGACAGAGAGAGAGACAGCGAGAGAGAGAGAGATGCAGATAGGGAAAAGTAATAAATAGGATGAGAAAAGATTAAGATAAATTCATGAATAATAGGGATGCCTGGGTGGTTCAGTAGGTTAAGTGCCTGCCTTCGGCTCAGGTCATGATCTTGGGTCCTGGGATTGAGCCCCATGTGGGGCTCCCTGCTCAGCAGGGAGTCTGTTTCTCCCTCTCCCTCCACCCCTTCCCCAAATCGTGCAGGTGTGCTCTCTTTCTCTCCCTCAAATAAAGCAATAAAATTTTTAAAATAAAAAATTCATGAATAATAAACCTAATGATCATCATCATCATCATCATCATCATCATCATAAGCTGGTCATTAAAGGAAAGTTGGGAAGAGGACCAAAAAAATAAGATCCCACATGCATACAGAAGTTCTCATAGCAGCCTCTTTAAAAATGATGGAGATGGAGAAACGTCAGTAAAAAGTCAAAGAATATGAAAGAAACATGTAAAGAGAAAAAGCAATGATGCCAAGTTAGGAGCATGAAGGATAGAGTTTCTTATACCTGAGGCCTGGAAGCTGTAATAGGAAGGGCCAGACTCTTGGGGTAGAGTAGCCAGGAAGGCCTGAGTGGCTTCATCCTCCATGCTCTGGACTGCTGCAGAAGAAAAGCTGGCTCACGCCTAGCTCTTCCACAGAACTCTAGGGACCCATTCTTGGCCTCCTGCCCCACCTACACCAGCTTTCACAACCTTCAAGGACCATCAGTCTGGGCTCCCAGCTCCCACTTGCACCAACATCCATACAACACAGATGCCCTCACCTTCTGGGCTCTGATTCTGTCTCTCCACAAAGCACTGGGTAGCCTGGAGGTCCAGGTCTTCAGAATCTGGTGGGGGAGCAATATAAGATAGATAAGTCATATCTCATGCTTAACTCCTTACTCTTTCTCTACCATTTTCTCCCCAACCCCAAGCCCTCTACAATGGACTGAATGTTTGTATCCCACCCAAAATTCATATGTTGAAACCTAATCCCCAATGTGATTTTATTAGGAGGTAAGGTCTTTGGGAGATGATTAGGTCATGAGGGTAGAACCCACTGAATGGGATTGGTACCCTTATAAAAGAGACCCCACAATTAACTTGTGCCCTTCTGCCATGTGAGGACACAGTGAGACAACAGCTGCCTATGAACAAGGAAGTAGGTCTTCATCAGAACACAATCATACCAGAACTTTGTTTTTTTTTTTTTTTTTTTAAGATTTTATTTATTCATAGAGACACAGACTGAGAGAGAGAGAGAATGGCAGAGACACAGGCAGAGGGAGAAGCAGGCTCCATGCAGGGAGCCTGACGTGGGACTCGATCCCAGGTCTCCAGCAGGGTCACACCCCGGGCTGCAGGCGGCGCTAAACCGCTGCGCCACTGGGGCTGCCCCATACCAGAACTTTGATCTTAGACTTCTAAGCCTTCACAACTATGAGAAAGAATTTCTATTGTTTATAAACCACCCAGCCTATGGTATTCTGTTACAGTACCCCAAGTGGACTAAGATATTCTATAAGCATTCTTTCTTTTCGGGGTCAAGGAAGAAGGCCAGCACTTACCACCATGGTTGTCTCCAGAGTTCTTGGTCCTGTCCACATGTGGTTCCCTCTTCCTTTCTGTGGGGGTCTGGGCTCCCTCTCTCTGTGGTTGGATGGTTTCTCCTGAAGTGCCTGTGTCCACCACCAGATCTATAAGGTTCTCCTTTGAGACAGGGAGATCTTGCTCCACCTGTGATACAAGTGAAACCCCCTGGGCCCTCGCCTCAAGAACTCTCTCCTGCTCAAGAACTGGTGCAGCCGATTCTGTCCCAGCATCCCCTTCTGCTAGAAGCTGGTGCTTTCCAGTATCTGCCACCAGTGAGGCTGCTAAGGATGTGTCCTCCTCCACATCTGTCCCACAGTCCTCAGATAGAGGAGGCTGGGGTTCCCCTAGGTGCATCACAGGCAGCTTTGCTTGGCCCCCTTCTACTTCCACATATGTTTGATTTGTCCATACCACAGGCACCTGATGCTTCTCCACAAGTATAATAGCTGGTCCTGGTAGGACTTTCTCTTCCACTTGTGTGATGTCTATGGTGGCAGAGGCTTGATTTCTCTCCAGGTGGACCTCAAGTAAGCTCTTATCTTCATCTACCTCTAGATCACTGTCTTGGAGAGGAAATTGCCTCTTTTCTGAGCATGCCTTGTCTGTATGACACTTGGGCACAGTTCTTCTGTTTTCCATTGGGAGACCCTCCTCCTCCATGTCTGTCTTACTATCTCTCCCAGCAGAGGTTTGGCTTCGCTCCAGAAGGGCCAAAGGTTGGGCCCTGTCCTCTTCCACATCTGTACCTCTGTTCCATGTATCAGATCCGCTCTCTTTCAGACGTGCCAAAGTGAGTGCTGCTAAGACTTCTTCCTCATCGTCTGTATTGCTGTCAATCACCATGGAAATTTGGTTTCTCTCCAGAGGGACTGCCTGTTGGATCTCACTTTCCTCCACATCTGTATCACTACCAGCTGGGTTCTCCTGTAGATGAACCAAAGCAGGTTCCTGAAGACTCTTTGTACTAACTCTGTGGAAGATTTGCCTCTTCTTCATAGGAACTACAGCTGGTGTTGCAGGGATCCGTTCTTCTTCCACATCAGTATCACTGTCTATGAAATCAGAAGGTTGGGCCCTTTCCAAATGGACTTCAGCAGGCCTTACTGGAGGCCTGCTCTCATCCACATCTGTGTCACTGTCCTCCCCAGCACTTTGGTTTCTCTCCAGAATCCCCCCAAGTGAGACCACCCCATTCCTTGCATCCCTCTCAATTTTTGTGTTATTGTTCCTCTCCTTCACTGAACACTGATCCTTTCCAAGCTGGGTTGCAGGTGTCATAGCTTTCAGCTGTTCTGTTTCTGCAGTGGAGCCTCTTCTGGCAGATAAGGAGGCCTCTCCCGCTGCTGAATGCTGACTTTCTTCCTCATCTGTGTCACTGTTCAGGTTGAAGGCAAAAGGTGGCCCAGGGCCATCTGGGGCAGGAGAAGGCCCCTCTTCATCACTGTTAAAGGGAACAGAAGAGAAAGGGTTGATAGCATCTGTTTCCCAAGAAGGAATACTCCACTCAACTATGAGCACCTTAAGGGCAGACACAAGGCAGTAGCTGTTTTTTTTTTTTTTCTTTCTTTTCTCTCCAGCAATTAGTCCTCACTTGGCACATCAGAGATGCTCAATAAAAGTTCAGCTGAGCAAAAGAGTATGTGCAATTCCCCAGCCCCACTTTCATAACAATCATCTCTTGCAGATAGATTCTATAGTCTATCTGGTTCCTCCTCCTTTTAAAGATGTAAGTATCTGGCCCTTTGGCACTTACCTCTCTGGAACTACTGCTGCCAAAGGGGAGGTCCTTGGTTCTTTCATCACACACCTTTCAGAAGGAGAATCTAAGAGTAAAAAGGATTAAGTTAATTGACTGTTCTATACTCACCATCCCCATCTTCTCACCCACCCTCCCAATATACAAACATACCTACTTCCTCCTCTGAGTCCTCAGCCAACAGGAGCCCCTGGGGTTGAGTTCCTCCCTGTACCCTGGGTGTCTCTTCTACAGTTAGAGGGCCCCGGGAAACAAAGGGCAGGGGGACATTCAGGCGATGGTACTGGCAGGGCAAGTCAGCAAAGAGAATCAACTCCTGGTCCCTCAGCCGATGACTCACCCCTGGGCTTAGGACCTTAGGAGGCCTTAGGACTTGAGTACCATTGAGGCTGCCACAATCTTGGAGGACAGGTGCCTTGTCCCAGGCCAAGATTTCAATGACTGCATGTTGTTTGGAGATGGATGAAAAGGGCAGGGTCACAGAGCAATCAGGCATTCGGCCTACCATATTCTTCCCAAGATACAGGGGAAAATCTAAGAATTAGAGAGATAGATAGGTTAAGGCCTGAGTCTTGGCCTGCTATCAGGAAAATATTCCTGTTAAGTAAGTACCCCACTACTAACTCAAGGTCCCCACACACATAAGAAAAATAAAAGACGGTAGGATGTATAAGTATTGAAGAATATAAGCAATGCGTTATTGTCAATACCCCATCCATCCACATTGGATTTTTTCTACTGCAGTAAAGTATACATAAAATTTACCATTAAACCATTTTTAAGTGTACAGTTTAGTAGCATTAAGTACAGTCACATTGTTGTGCAACCATCACCACCATTCATTTCCAGACCATGCTGGATTTCCATCTGAATCTCTTCATCTTCTCCTACCAAAGTAAAATTGAGCCCATTGAGTCCAGGGTACTTGCCAGGAGCAATCAACTTAATCAGCCCTTCCTCTGCATTCCCAGTGAAAAACTCAGACCTCCTCAAAAAATATAAAAGATGCTTACAACCCTCCAACTACCTCCCCATAAAAATGAGGCCTATACCAGTACTTTATCATCCAAGAACCTCTGACCTTTTTCTGGTCCATGGGCACTACTGAAGATATGCAACCGCCCTACAGGCTCTAAGCCACGCCCCAAGGCTTCACTGGGTCTCTCTGTCTCCTCCTCTTCTTCAACCTCCCAGTTGATAGCCTGGGTGTCCTCCATGACCTGGGAAGTAAACACATTATCATCATCTCAGGTTCTTGCGCAGTCTCAGAGAGGAGGCTGATAACTGGAGATAACCCTGGAGAGTTATAGGAGATTGACATGTCTCCTATTTTTTTTTTTTTTTAAGATTTTATTTACTGGGACACCTGGATGGCTCAGTGGTTGGGTGCCTGCCTTCGGCCCAGGTGGTGATTCTGGGGTCCCAGGATCCCATCCCACATCGGGCTCCCTGCAGGCAGCCTGCTTCTCCTTCTGCCTCTCTCTGTGTCTCTCATGAATAAATAAATAAAATCCCAAAATAAAATGTGGGACTCCATCCCAGGACCCCAGGATCACCACCTGGGTGGAAGGCAGGCGCTCAACCGCTTAGCCACCCAGGTGTCCCGACATGTCTCCTTCTGACAACCATCCTGTTATTAACCTTCTGAACTATTTAAAAAACATTTCTGTCTATAATAATAAATAAATATTACGGGGGTGGGAATAAACAGTATGAGATTCCAAGTACACATACTACAAATGCATGTGCTTATGTAAAGAGACAAACATTCTGAGAAAAAACAATGCTTAGCTTCATGGTATATGATATACTGATAGTTTTCATTCTTTTTTTTTTTTCCCCATCCACTATTGTTTAAATGCTGATCTGCAACCTGCTAAATTGATTTCACCATCCACTTACTGGTTTGGAACCCACAGCCTGAAAAAAATATTTTAGAGAGAGCTAAACTTTGCCAAGCATCAACTATGTGCTCAGCATTGTGTTATGTGTTAGGCATCATGGACATATGAGGCAGGCATTTAAAAAACTAAGGCTAAGGGACACCTGGGTAGCTCAGCAGTTGCGTGTCTGCCTTCAGCTCAGGGCGTGATCCCAGTTCAGGGATCAAGTCCCACGTCGGTCTCCTTGAATGGAGCCTGCTTCTCCCTCTGCCTACGTCTCTGCCTCTCTCTGTCTCTCATGAATAAATAAATAAAACCTTAAAAATTAAGGCTAAAACATTAAATGACTTGCTTAGGGTAATGTGCTTCTGGAGGCAAACCGCATGCTTTTTATACTTCAGCAGAACATCTCAATGTGATCAACTAACTGCCGAGAATCCTAACAACCGAGGTACATAGAGGCTTGTTCTGCATGAAGCATTACTCTAGTTTATACTGACACTCACTTAATCCTCACAAAAATGTTTTAAACTATTATTATTACTCTATCAGACTAAGCAACTGCAACATAGGTGGGTTAAGGAACTTGCCCAAGGTAAACAAGGTATTTTCTGTCCTCTGTTTAATATTTCATGGCTTTCCATGCCCACAGGATGAAATAAATTCTCAACTCTTTAGCGAGATCCTCCATGATCTGAACCTCAGGTCCTGCTCCCCTCTGCCAAAGCCTATGGTTCAGCCACAGGGACCTTCTCCCCAAACTCTGAACACACTGTTCCTGTTGTTCCCCGTACCTGCATGCCTTGGTCAGTTGCTTGGCCCTTAGCTCCTAGTTTTCTGGTCCAACTCCTACCCATGATTTATGATTCAGTCCAAATGTCGCTCCCTCGGTAAGGCCTTTCCTGGAGGCGTCCCTGCTTTCTGTTCTTGGTGTCCCCACGTGCCCCCCGTGGTCGGAGAACTTTTACTTCCCCTACTACTTCTCACCATATTGCAACCATTACTTTCCATTTCTGCCTTCGCAAACTGGGTCTCTTCCCCTAGGTCACATCATATTCATTCAGTAATACCTACTGAGCACCTGGAACTGCTCAAGGAGCTCGGCATACAGTCACAAAACAAACAAAATCAACCCCACCCTCCTGCGAAAGGGCAAATGAAAGGTGATGAAAACTCAAAACGGTGAGGCTGGAATTCACTTAGAGGTTAGCTGCTGACAGGGAAAGCAGGCGCCGTCCCCGGGGAGAGCTAACTCCGTCCCGAAGGCAGGAACTCAGCGGGCGCCCAGGCCCCGCGGCTCCATCCGGGGCGCCACCATCTTTCATCTCCACCCCAGGGGCTTCCCGCCGGGCCCCACGTCTCCCCGTCCTCATACCTAACCTCGGGGAGGGGCGTCAAGTGAGGCTGAACACTAGAATCCGAGAAACCAACTGGCAAGTACCGTCCGCCCCGTCGCAGCAGGGCACGCCCCTCCCGCCCTACGGGAGGATCAAGATGGCTCCCGCGGAGCGGTGGGCGCGGCCCCCACAACTCACCCCCCGAGAGTCCCCGCGCGCCGCCAGTAACGGCCGCGACCCGGCGCGCGGGAGCTCGCGCCGAGAGGGCGCCGGCCCTCTGATTGGCTTCTGCTGCTGTCTTTCACAACCGCCGACTGAGGAAGCGCCCAACCGGGAGGCGCCGCCAAGGCCCCGCCCCGCCCCCTCAGCAGCTCAAAGGGCAGGTCTTCCTGGGCGCCTGAAATCGGTTAAGCGAGGCGGTAACCCGAGGCTGCCGCGCGCGCACTGAGTGGCGCGCCTCGATTGGGCGGCTCCCGGGCACAGCGTGGCACCGCGCACCACGCACCACGCAGCGCCGCGTTCCCGCGCAGATTTCCAAACCGCGACCACAGAGTCTGGCTCCCGGCGGTGGATAGAGGGGCCGACCACAGTCGTCGCGAGGCGTCGGCCGCGGCCAGAGAGCCGTCCTCGGTCCTCCCAGACATGGAGTCCGCTGACTCAGGAGAAATGGAAATGAGCTGCGGGTTGCAGTCGTGGCCGGAGGCTGCAGGTTGGAGAACTGCCCGTAGGCGTGTCGCTTGAAGAGTCTCCATCGCAGTGGAAATTCATTTCCTTTTGATTTGGCTTTTTTAGGACAAGTCATGTCTTTCCCTTTCTGACACTACATCCTGATGGACCTGTGGAGGTCATTTTCCTAAGGATCCCTAGGCAAAGAGGGAGAACTGTTTGTTAACTGTCTTAAAGGTTGACCGAGGTCTTTCAAGAGGTGGAGGACGGATGATAAAACCATCAATTTCATTATCTCACACTAAGAAGGAGAATAGCGACAATACTATTACGTGTGTACTTTAGGAAGTCCTTTGCGTTCATTATCTGTCCTCCAACCACAACAATCAAATAGATTTCAGGGAGGGAATTGAAGTCTGCGAAGTTAAAAGACCTGCCGACGTTCCTACAGCTAATGGAAGGGAAGGACAACTTGAGGCAAGTCCTCTGATTCTGAATTCTGAACTTTCCCCACTAGCACAAAATGACTGCTTTCATTATGATCATGCCCTGAAACATAGAACATTCTCTTTTAAGTGGGTAGAGAAGGTCTTGCGCAACTTGCTGTTTATTTTTTGTTTAGGTGAGGAGAAATATGTTGACTGGACCGTGAGTGAACAATGATGACCTTGATAGCACAAGTCCTATGTCCTATTACAATGTGGTAACACCCTCCATTGTTTACACATTTCCCATCAAATTGCAGAGACTGAAGGCAGGGCAACTAATTTTTACCCACTTTGTATCCCTAGCTTCTGGCTTGGTGGACACTTAGTATCTATCAAACGAACCCTTAAGGAGCATGCCCCTCTGACTTGAGCCCATCCAATTTTCTCCCATCAGCCCCCCTCTTTTGTTTCAATCCTGAGGCTTTTGAGAGATTGCAATGGCCAGCCCCCTCGTCAGTGAATTCAGCAAACTGAAAAACACTCCCACCAAAATGTCTGGAGAGGCATCCTGGAAGACACTGAAATTCAGGCACCTCACTTCATAATTCTCTCGACAAAAGCAGTGTCTTCAATGCTGCTCTAAGAGCCCCCCCGTTTTTTAAAGAATTTATTTATTCATGAGAGACACAGGCAGAGACACAGGCAGAGGGAGAAGCAGGCTCCATGCAGGAAGCCCGTTGTGGGACTCGATTCCGTGTCTCCAGGATCACGCCCTGCGAAGGTGCGCTAAACTGCTGAGCCACCCGGGCTGCCCTAAGAACCCCTTTTGATGGGGGAACAGAGGACTGGCTGAGGACAAAGCACAAGCCCAGGGCAGCACATTGACAAGCCCTTGAAACAGGCAGAGGGACCTTCCTCTACGGACTCAACTGCCTGGATGTTCATACTTTGCTAAGGAGAAAAGGCAATCTTAGCCCGACCCCCAGGATCTTGTAAGTCTATTTTAACATAAAAATTCCTTTAGAAAGATCCTTTATCTAAACCCACAAGATACATGTTGGCAATCATCCCCCAAGCACATGGCCCACCCACACACATCTAAAGGGTCTCACGACTCAGGTTTTATTAGACGGTAATACGTGACCTTTTCCCAACAATAACTGGCCCCCTCAAGGTCCTGGAAACCTTGCTTCCAAATTCCTTAGAGAGTCCGGTATCCTCAAACCCCTCCCAACTCCCAGGTATATAATCAGCCACCCCTCACCGGGCAGCAGCTCTTCCTGCCCACGGGTCCTGTCCCCCTGCTTTAATGAAACCACCATTTTGCACCAAAGATGTCTCAAGAATCCTTTCTTGGTCGTCGGCTCCGAACCTCACCTTATAATTTCAAAAACTTCACTTTCATGGATAGACTTCTGACTTCACAGATTCTAAATACCAGCTTTTCTAAACCATTCAATTTATTATTTGAACACATCCTCAATTACATCTCTACTCTGAAAACCTATTGCTGCATTTTTGTTTCTCTTTCTAAACATTATCATTAGAAAATTTCCAAGGAAATAGCAGGAGGGCCATCCCCTGTTTTTCCTATCTGGGGGAGCAGCGGTTTCCTGGATTTCATGCCGTGGGTCACCGAAGGACCCGCTGTTTGCTACCACAGCAGGGTGCCGCATTTCTCCCCAGTTATAGCTGAGCTAAGCAGCCCTCTTACCAGGAGCTACCGCAGCAGGGAACGTTCAGGGCGTGCCCACTTCGCCTTCCAACTCCTGGCACCCCAGGGTTCCCAATGCCTGTATCCTCCCAAATGACTCCCTTTTAGTACAAAAAACTCAAGTGTAGGGGAAAGAAATTTGCGCAAGGTCATTTTTCATTAAAAAACAACAACAACAAGGCCAACTCTACCCCCCCCCAAACCAAAAATCCAGTATCCACTCCTCCCTCCCTTCATTTTCCAGCGTAGACAACAATGGAGGACTACGACTCCCAGGGAGGCCAGCGTTCCTCCACCCGAGCGGAGCCCAATAGACATGACCCACGTGCCTAGCACCGACCAATCAGGGCCCACTCCAGTGAGGCTTTGTCTGCCTGCCTCGGCGCGGGCGCTCTCCCGCCTGCAGCCTCCGCGCACGCGCGCCCCGCCCTGCCCGCCTTTCCTCCTTCTTCGCCCTCCCCGCTTCTTTCTACATCTCAGAACGTTCCTGTCGCTGCGCTCGGACCTCGTTGCTCCAGCCTCTGGACGCGTCCCATCCTTCCAGCCTGCAGTATAGGAAAAAACCCCATCTCGCTTTCTGCCCCGTACACACCTTTGAGAGAAGCAAAAAGAATTAAAATAAATTTTAACAATGAGGGAAATCGTGCACATCCAGGCCGGTCAGTGTGGTAACCAGATCGGTGCCAAGGTAAGGATTTTAAGCCTTTTCTTTTAACTATGTTTTTTTTTTTTTTGAGAAGAAAAAAAATCCAGCTAAATAATGAAGAACGTGGGACATATTTGCGTTCCATCCATTGTCCCGCTTTGCCCTCAAAAGTTTTCCATATACAATACACGGTTGCAGCTAGAATTTACTTTTGAAAAATGGGGGAATTGTACTTGGCTGGCTAATTTTGGGTGAGCTTTTGAGGACGTTTCGGGTTTGGAGTCGGAAGACTGGCTCTTTAAAATTTTACTTGAAAGTGTTGTAGTGGTCCGAGGAACGGGGAGAGAGGAGATGCGGAAACGGTCCGAGATAAAGCGCGGAGAGGCGGTCCCCGTGTGCATCCCTCCGCGGGGGGGGCCCGGGTCCACGGAGGGGAGGAGGACAGGGAGCGCGGCTGGGCGGCGGCCGCGGGGTCCTGGGCCCACGGTGGGGAGGGGGGCGCGACGCGCCAGGGTGGGCTGCCCTTGTGGATGGAAGACTGGTCGCTGCAGTATTAATTTCCTTTCATCTCCAGTAAAGAGACTCTTTTAGGGCGTGCACCGATATGGAGAAAGAGGGCGGGAGGATCCTTTTCTTTCAAGGGTCCCCCAGGGCTAAACGGTGGGAGAAGGGCCGAGAATCCGTACTTAAAGCCAGGTATAACAAACTAGCAAAGGAAGAAAATCGGAGGCTCAAGCAGGAGGTGGGGGTAGTTTCTTTCTCTGCGCGCGGTTACAGTGTGGCGGGGGCAGGGCAGGGAGGAAGTCCTGCTGCTACGTTGTAGCCCGCGGCTGGGCGGGGGGCGGGGCGGGGCGGGGCTCCATGCGCCGAGCCGGCCGGCTGGGGGCGCGCTCGCGGCACAGGCCCCCGCCCACGCGCGACGCCTCCCTTTGTCAGCGCCGACGGGCGGGCGCCGCAGTCACGTGGAGGGGCGTCCACTGCGGCGGCATCTGTCCCTCACCCGGCCCGTTGTGCGCGGGGGAGGGTGTGCCGGTCGGCTCGACTCGGAAGCCTCCGCCCGGCACACCCCCGCCGCACCGCGTCCCCCGGTCGCCGGGCCTCCGCGGCTGCACCCCCTCTCACAGCCCGAGCAGTGGACGCTGCAGCCCTTCGGGGGCTGCGGGTGTCTGGTGGAGGGCGCGGCAGGCAAGCAGAGCGCCCGGTAGGCCGTGGAGGTGCGCTCTCCGCGTGCGCGTTTGCACTTGAAATGTGTCGGTCGGGTGGGCATCACTGGCTGGCACCAGAGCTGTGCAAGCCTCCCTGCTCTTCCTCGGCAGTTCTGGGAGGTCATCAGCGATGAACACGGCATCGATCCCACCGGAACCTACCACGGTGACAGCGACCTGCAGCTGGATCGCATCTCCGTGTATTACAACGAAGCTACAGGTGAGGGCGGGAACGCGGGGCTCCCACTTCTCCGGGGTCTCCTTTCCAGCCCTGGAGAACCCACCCTGGGATGGGTCTGATTTTTAAAGAAGGTCTTACCCTGATCTGACTTTTCACGGTGGGGCAAAAGATCAGCTCTGCTGCCCCCTGGTGTCCTCCAGCTCCATTTGGTCTTCTGGTCCACCAATTCTTTCTTTCTTCCATATAGGTGGCAAATACGTACCTCGTGCTATCTTGGTGGATCTAGAACCCGGGACCATGGACTCTGTTCGCTCAGGTCCTTTTGGGCAGATATTCAGACCAGACAACTTTGTTTTTGGTGAGTTATGTACATATTAGTAGTGCTATTCAGTGTATTTGAAGGAAGGAGACTGCAAGACCTAAGAAGTTATTTTTAATGCTGGAACATTTATCTGGGGATATGTTTTGAGATCTCTAACGCAGGGTGTTGGGAATGACCGCCTTAGATGGTAGATACTGAGTCAGGGATGTATCACAGGTAAGTGAGAAAAAAAGGCACATTCGTGTACGTAATTCTAAAAGCTGAAGAGTGGAAATGGGTCCTTTATCTTTGATGCTTTGCTAATAAAGAGAATTTTGTTCACCTCATTCCAGGGCAGTCTGGGGCTGGCAACAACTGGGCCAAGGGCCACTACACAGAGGGGGCTGAGCTAGTGGACTCAGTCCTGGATGTGGTGCGGAAGGAAGCTGAGAGCTGTGACTGCCTGCAGGGCTTCCAGCTGACCCACTCACTGGGTGGGGGCACAGGCTCTGGCATGGGCACGCTGCTCATCAGCAAGATCCGAGAAGAGTACCCTGACCGCATCATGAACACCTTCAGTGTGGTGCCCTCCCCCAAAGTGTCTGACACGGTGGTTGAGCCCTACAATGCCACCCTCTCTGTCCATCAGTTGGTAGAGAACACAGATGAGACCTATTGCATTGACAATGAGGCCCTGTACGACATCTGCTTCCGCACCCTCAAGCTGACCACGCCAACCTATGGGGACCTCAACCACCTTGTCTCAGCCACCATGAGTGGTGTCACCACCTGCCTCCGCTTCCCTGGTCAGCTCAATGCTGACCTCCGCAAGCTGGCAGTCAACATGGTGCCCTTCCCACGTCTCCATTTCTTCATGCCTGGCTTTGCACCTCTGACCAGCCGTGGAAGCCAGCAGTATCGGGCCCTCACTGTACCTGAACTCACCCAGCAGGTCTTTGATGCCAAGAACATGATGGCTGCCTGTGACCCCCGCCATGGCCGTTACCTCACTGTGGCTGCTGTCTTCCGTGGGCGGATGTCCATGAAGGAGGTAGATGAGCAGATGCTCAACGTGCAAAACAAGAATAGTAGCTACTTTGTGGAATGGATCCCCAACAATGTCAAGACCGCTGTCTGCGATATCCCGCCCCGTGGCCTCAAGATGGCAGTCACCTTCATTGGAAATAGCACAGCCATCCAGGAGCTTTTCAAGCGCATCTCAGAGCAGTTCACAGCCATGTTCCGGCGCAAAGCCTTCCTCCACTGGTACACAGGTGAAGGCATGGACGAGATGGAGTTCACCGAAGCTGAGAGCAACATGAACGACCTTGTCTCTGAGTATCAGCAGTACCAGGATGCCACCGCAGAAGAAGAAGAGGATTTCGGTGAGGAGGCTGAAGAGGAAGCTTAAGGCAGAGTACCATCACCTTAGGCTTCTCTATTCCCTCTTCCTCAGCTGCCCCTGTGTCCTCTCCCTCAGAATTTGCATTCTCTGCCTCTTATTTTTTTTCCCTTTTTTTTGGGGGGGGGGGTTCCTAGAACAGTGCCTGGCACGTAATAGGCGCTCAATAAATACTTGTCGTTTGTTGAATGTCTCCTCTCTTCCACTCTGGGAAACCTAGATTTCTGCTGTTCTGGGTGACTCTGTATTTTCTTTTGGTGTCCATTTTCCCGTTTGTGCAGTTGATATTTCCCTTTGTTTTTTAAGGTGATTCTCCGAGAAGCTGGGTCTCATTAGATCCCATTTAGAACATGTGCTGAAATCATCGCCACCATCCTAAGCCCATGTGGTAGCCCAGGGGAAAGGAAACCAAGCTACCTCATAGCAGTAGAGGTACATATCGAGAAGGTAGGGTTTTCTCTTCTAGAGCAGTTTTAGAGAGGGAAATCCAGGCTCTTGAAGTCCAAATCCAGGAATCTTCCTGCTCTCAGCTTCAGGGGAGATGTTGACAGTATTGTCTATTTTTTGTCTTCTTCCAAGCTCTGTCCTGAGCTGTTTCTTTTGAGGGGTCTGTGCCACTTTGTTGAGTGGGATCCTTCCCTCCTACATAAACTGCTTCACGTGTTCGATTTCTTCCTTTTCCCCAGGGTAAAGAGGGACTGGCCTTGATCCCTAAAGTCTCTGGAAAGGCCCCCTCCCACTCCCCACTTTGTCTTAACAAAACTCCAGCTCTGCTGTGTACATATGGAAAAGTGTGTATTGCCACCTAAATCATTTGAGTCATTCTTCCAGAGGGGACAAGGAGACCCTCCACCTTTTGGCAACACCTCAGCTCTTCCTTCTGCTTTTCCCTTTCCCCACACACCCTTGATTTTTGTCCTGTCCTACATTTCAAATTTCTACTTTGTGTTGAACTTGCTTTTTTTCATATTGAAAAGATACCATTGCCCCAAAAGCCAAAAATAAAAAAACTGAAAAAAAGTTGCGAGATGTGTGCTCATTTAGGGAAAGATTGCCATTGAACAACCTGAGGCTCAAGTTCAGCTACGCATATACTCTGCTCTTAATAAACTGATGAGAATATCCTTGTACTTACCTTATCCTGGTAGAACTATTTCACCATCCTCACTACCAGTCTCAATAACTAGGATAGGTATAGACTCCTACAGGATCGACAGAAATGAGAACTGAGATGAATGTTGAATAGTGCGTAAGTGGCTCCCAGATGAATATCCTCTTGGGAACTTGTGTAGAAATGCAGGTCACAAGGCCTACCCAGATGTACTGAACCAGAAACCAGCTGACTAGTAATCTGTTTAGCAATACTCCAGGAGAATCTTGTGAATGCAGAGTTGTACGCTATTATTGCACTACTTTCAGTGCACAGCACATCCAGGGTTCATTTGAGTTATGGGTCTTGCTTTTTTCTTTTACACCTTGGCATTTTCTCATTTAACTCCAGGGAAAGATCAAGATAACTAGTGAGGGGTGCTACACAATGGTCCCATTCTAAAGTACTGTTTCACCAAATAAATATGCTTTTCTAAGGCACAAAATTAAGTCAGCTACCCTGGAAATTTAAGTCCATGTAATTTTCCTTGGCCCTATTCCAATTAATAAAGGGAACTAGTGCAGTTCTCCCAATTTCTTCCATTTTAGCAAGCTTTTTTGCGTATTACCGGCTTTTGCCGAAGAAATTGTATGACGTAAACTACATGTTAACTTGCTTTTCTCCCATTCTAAAAAGTGTTGAATGAAGGGAAGATGCTACGTTCCAGTATTAACTTTCAATCAGTTCTGCTTTATTGAGTTAATTATTAATCAGTATCAGTACTTTGTAACAGCAACTCATTTGATAAAGTTGAGAACCTCCAGGCGATCCCTCGGTTTTGGTCAGGAAAATTCTAGGCCATAAATGTATACAGACAGTCCAGTTAGAAAGTTAAATTGCAGGGTGCGGGGTGAGTAGGATAATCAGAAGGCTGGCATGAAACCCGGGGAGGGGGACTGGGTAGTCTTAGCAGTGTGGGGCTGGGAAGAAGAGCAACCCCTCCTCTCCAAGGCAAGGCACAAGCTATTTGGCAAGGAGATGAGGGGTGGAACCCCATTGTCAAGGGTGTGCTCAGAGAAGCCAGTTGTGCATGCAGTATGGGGACCATTCTGGCAACCATGAAGCAAGGCATCGGCAAAGGTTGAGGGCTCAAGCTGTTCGCAGAGGCTTGTGGTTAACCTGGTAAAAAGACCACAGTGATGACACGGGAATCATGTACCCTGTTCTCCCAGCTCCCCATTTGGATGAAAGCTACAGAGAGGACATGTATTTCCAGGAAACTTCTAAGTTTTTTCTGCCACCCTACCTTAACCTCTTGTCAAGCAGTCATAAGGAGCCATGTACAGCACCAAATCACTGCAAGGAAGTGGAGGGGGCCAAAGCCCTGCTAGCATGGACTCTCCTTGGCTCCTAATCTCATTCAGTGCATTCAATGCCAGCCTCAAGAAGGCTCCAAGGAACCCAGCTTGAAGGTCACTGCTACAGTCTATCGTTTTCACTTAAATATCTTTCTAAGGAACTTCTGTATTTGAGAGAATGTGTGTGTGTGGGGGGAGGTGAGGAAGGAACAGAAAGGGAAGGGAGTAGGACAAGCAGACTGCACTGAGCACTGGGCCCAATGCAGGCCAATACCAGGACCCTGAGATCATGTCCTGAGCTGTAAGCAAGAGCCAGGTGCCCCTATATAAGATAGTTAGGTAGATGCAGATACATATTTTAAGCACTCTCATGTATAGTACTTAACTATGTGTCAGGCACTGTCCTAAACACTGCCAATATTTACTCATTTAATCCCTTTAACAATTCAACAGATCCTATTATTAACCTGATTTTAAGGTGAGGGAAGAGGTACAGAGAAGTAGCTAACTTGTATAAGGTCACAGCTAGCATGCACTGGGGTCAGGATTCACACCAAAACAGTATGATTCCAGAGACTGCTCTGACTTTTATCATAATCTACAGGTGGATAAAGAGGCATCAAGAAAAGCAGTGATGGGCAGCCCTGGTGGCGCAGCGGTTTAGCGCCACCTGCAGCCTGGGGCATGGTCCTGGAGACCTGGGATGGAGTCCCACATCAGGCTCCCTGCATGGAGCCTGCTTCTCCCTCTGCCTGTGTCTCTGTCTCTGTCTCTCTCTCTCCCCCTCTCCGTGTGTGTCTCACATTAATAAATAAATAAAACCTAAAAAAAAAAAAAATTTAAAAAAAAGTGATATGCCTCAGAATTAACTGTTAATAGGCTGCAACCAGTTCTGTATACTAGTGCAACCATAGGCTCTAGAAGGCAGTCAGCCTGGGTTTGAAGTCTAGCTTTACCAGCTGTATGTCAGGGGCAAAATTCCCTAATATATTGGAAGTTGTTTCTTTACTTTGTAAAATACTATGTACCCAAAGGATAGTTTGATTAAAACAACAACAACATACCATTGGTGTAGAGGCTTAGCATGGCATCTAGCATATAGAAAGCAAAAATATCAGTGCCCCCCCCCCCAACCCTCCTTGCTGGCCTAGTGCTGGCCTGCTGCATCACATGCCCAGGAACCCAGAAATTCACAGAAAATCCACACCTCCCACCCTAGAGACCCTCACCTGGGAGATGCTGACACCTGTGAGTCTCTCCACACTCTCTGGCAGGCGGCTCAGGATGTCCAGTACTTCTCCGGTCACTTTGGCCGCCCCCATGGCCCCACCTCCACTGGACACTAGTGTGATCTTATTGGCTGAGGTCAAGGGACCACTGATCTCCTCTGCCACCTGGTAGGTGAGAGATGCCCACTCAACACCTGTAGTCTGACCACACCCCTCCTAAATTGCTTTACACTGGGCTTCAAGATCATTGATCATCTTCACTTTGTAAGGATTATCTTTCTTTACTTCGGTCACTGGGTTCTAATTCCTACCCCTCGTTTATGGTCCCCTAGTCTGTTCTTCCCAAGCCCCTCATTTCCCCCCACCCTACACTCCCTGGTTCTGTTCCTCTCCTGGTGCCCACACAACCTCCAGACCTGGGGCAGCTTCTCCAGCAGCATGTCCAGCTGAGCAGCCTCCTGGTACAGCTGGAATGCTTCTGCCTTCTTGGCCATCTGCTCGGCCTCGGCCCGGGCTCGAGCCCCGATGGCAAAGGCCTCAGCCTCCCCACGCATCTGAGAAGCGAAAGGGAGATTGTGGTGCTGATGGCTGTAGTTAAGGACAAGAAACCCAGCTCAAGCAGCAACTCCCATTCCCTCTGCAAGCCAGTAAGAGCCACCTCTTCACTCACCCTCACCGACTCCGCTTCTGCCTCAGCCTGCATAATTAGCTGGGACCTGTGCACAGAAAGGAAGAGGAGGGAGGGGCTGAGGAAGGGCAAAAGGCAGGCCCTGCTGGAGAGACAGAGGCTTCTGTAACCTGAGTTCCATAGGAGTTCAGGTAGTGAGGGCCTCCACTCTTCACCTAGGGGAGCCAGATGAGAAAGGAGCAGGATAGGGCCTGGGAGCGGGTGTTTACTTCTCTGCCTCAGCGAGGCGCTCCAGCTTGTAGCGCTCAGCCTCCGCTGGCTTCCGAACTCGGGCCTCCAGCTCCTTCTCTCGCCGGGCGATCTCCTGTTCCTGCACTGCCACCTGCTGGGCCCGCTCCACCACCTGCACCTGTACCCGCTGTTCCTCGATCTGCTGCTTAGTTTTGGCCACCTGGGAAGGAGCAATGCTCAACATCAGGGCTGAAGAGCAAGTTCCCAGGAACCACAGAGAAAAGCCAGGGCAAGGGCTCCAGGGTGAGATATAAAAACAGAGTAAGGGGCAGCCCGCGTGGCTCAGCGGTTTAGCGCCGCCTTCAGCCCAGGGCCTGATCCTGGGGTCCCGGGATTGAGTCCCACGTCAGGCTCCCTGCATGGAGCCTGCTTCTCCCTCTGCCTGTGTCTCTGCCTCTCTGTCTCTCTGTGTGTGTGTGTGTCTCATGAATAAATAAATAAAGTCTTTAAAAAAATAAAAATAAAAACAGAGTAAGGACATGAAGTCAGTCCCTGGTGGGTTCAGCCAGCCCAGTGGAGTCCATTTCCCATATGGATCCCAGTTGTGGCTTGGGGGATGGCCTGATCCTCCTCAGAGGTATCTTCCAGGCAGC